CCAAACAAACAAAACCTTCAAATCATTATTAAAACATAGAACCAGAAAAAATGGAATTTTAATCGTAGAGAATGACTTGCCTCCGATGAGATAAGTATGAAGTCGTTTTTGAGAAACCCTAGCGAGAAAATCAGGGGAGAGATATGGCCTTAAATTTAAAAAGCAAGATTGAAACCTCACGGGTTTTGTGAGATCGCAAAGTAAAAAACGGAGAAAATAAACGAGAAGGCGGTGGAAAAGATCAACACGGCAGCGAAAGCAATGGTTTAGGGTGAAAGTATTTTCAGATCGGAGGTCGAGAACGGAGGAGCTGGGGAAGGACGAAGCCAGTTCGCGAATCGGACGAGTGATCCTTGTTCTTCCTATATTTATATTTAAAAGGGAAAATAAAAAGGAGAAATATACATATATTCTCCGAAAATGGGAAAATGAAATAAATTAAAATGTGATAAAAATATGAATACCTATTTTGCAGTAAAATTTTCCTTAAAAATATAAATTAGAATTTTTTCTTCTGAGAACTTATAATATTTTTAATAAAAATTAAAAAAAATAAATTTTTTTATTAATTAAAATATTCTAAATAATATTTAAATAATTTCAAGAGAATTCTGAATATTTAACTGTTAGAACTTCCATAAAAATTAACATTTCTTATTTTGATATATGCACCTAATGCCCATTTTCATTCTCCTAAGTGTAGAATTTCTCTCGTGTATTTGTAGAAAAACCCACCCAAAATTTACCACGTGTTACGAATATGATTTCGTACCATACTAATCTACGTTGAAATTTGTGTACCATGGAATAGTTTACTTGTCCAAATTAGTTCTTCTATTTTTCAACTTTAACTTTTATTTTAGGTAGTATTTTTAATATAGCATAAGAATTGTAATTGAAATAAACAATTAATCATATGAATGTTAATACTTAAAAAATTATATATAGAACTTTTTTACAAATTATTATTCATATATGTTATATAAAATATTACATGTAAGGTTAAAGTGAATATAGTTTTTAGATAATTATATTTAGATGTGAATATTTAATTACATTTATTTAAAGGGGTTAATTTGACAAATTATTCATTTTTTTCTATAAAAGTAAGGAAGTAATTGTTAATAAATTTCCCAATTGTAGTTTGATTGATTTATATTTTAAATTATATATGGGAGATGAATTCAATTTTTCAACCAAAAAGAAGAATGAATTTCACAAATTTTTTTATTATGACAAGTAAGATAGGGAGAATGAATTTTTACAAATTTCTTAATTTTTACATAACTATACATTTAACTTTAGGGGAAGATGGATTACATGCTTTAAACTTGTGTTGGAGATTAATTTTTGTGAATATTCAACACCCCAGAGTCCCAAATTTGACTCCCCTCAGTAAGTTAAAATTTTCTTGACAATGACTTTTTTAGAAGGGGCAGCAATTTTTCAATTTTGATTTAACAAAAAAAAAAAAGTTGCTAGTCCACCCACCGCACATATAGTGATACACACTCAAGGACTGTAATTACTTGAATTAGATTTATTTATTTATTTTTGTTATGTTTAAATTGAAAAACACTTGTACTTGGACCTCACGGCTCAACGGTCCTATGTCGACTTGTAAGGTGTATCCCCCAACTCAAAAGCTAGGGTTTGATTCCCCCTTCCCCATATTTGTAATCTTGTTAAAAAAAAAAAAATTAAAAAACACTTTCTTTAAAATTATTACATTTTGAAGTGAGTTAGGATTTTATTATTACTATTATTATATTATATATGATGATTTGATAATTGCTTCTATTTTTCATTTTTGGTGGGAGTTGTTTCAAGTAATTCAAGTGGCGTGCCACTTCATCCAAAGTTACCAACAAGTGAAAAGGACCAAACATGAAATGTAATTAAGTTTATCCCTGGAGTTGGTAATCATCTGGCCAAGAATAATTGTTACAACAACCCGTGTACCCAAAGTTTTTGAACACATTCTCAAATCAAAATGTTAGATTCAAGTTGATAAAACTTTCAAGTAACCTCATCTACCTTATTAACCAATAACCAAAGATAACGGATCACCTCGGTTCAGTTATCAGTCTCCCATGCTCAAATCAAAATCGATTATCACTGAAGTTTTGCTTTGGTCAGATTAGTAAGGACTAAGGATAGCATGAATGCAAGTTGGGGCCGGGGGACGGGATGCAGCCATTTAACAAGTTTTATGAAAATCAAATAGGACATTTATGGTATGTTAGAGTTGAGAGGAATGAATGGTAAAAGAGGGTTTTTTTATGGATTAAATTATAATATTTAAAAACATTATAATTTGATCAGTAAAATTCTTCCATTCTCCTCGAAGTAGACTTATTCTAAGCAAAAAGAGGGTCAACATTTTAGCTTCACCAACTGTCCTAAACAACCATCTGTCTGGCAATGATGATATTTGGAAAGAAAGTTGCTTTATATAATTACACTGATTTATCATAAAATATATGATATATCTATCATACAGTACATAGATATCGAGACCCATTTCACAATTCTTTTATTTTGGGTATTTACATGTACATGGATCGTAGATGGGGATACTGGGATACTATGAGATCCATATATGAGTATTTAAATGTACATAAGGAAAACATAGGATACATGAGTTCCTTCAGGAAGGATTCATCACCAATTGATTATGCAGTACTTTCAGTATGAAGCTATTTTAGTGGAATTGCACATATCTAATCCAGTTCCAGAGGCATCAATATCGACCCATACCTCGTTAACCCGGCTAATGAAGCGGAATGGAGGATCATACTGAGCAATGGAGTAGGCATAGTCAGTGTAAGAAGTGGAGTTTGCCCAGGGAGTCTTGCTCAAGCTGTTGCCCAGTGTCTCCGCCTCCTTTAATATGGTATCATCCGTGGCAAATCCGGAGAACTTCCTCACGGCTACACAGTGACTGTCCCATGTGTAGGGCTCCAATTTCAGTTCAGGGAGGGGAACGGGTGGGCTGTCCTGGAACTTTGTGGGCAGGTAGAGCCGGACGTAATAGGCTGACGAGTGAAGCGGCCCTGCTCCTGGAACTACACTTGTCACCACCGGAACCGTCATTGGAAGCCGAGAGAAATTCAGGTTGGCTCCTTCGGTGAACTGGAACAACCTGTTAGAAGAACAATTGAACCAACTCGAATCAAATGCAGGGCAACCATTTAAAAAACCAAATAATCAATTCGAAACTCATTACCAAGAATTTATTCCGAATACGGACTCGATTTAAAACACATCTATACTCTATTTACGTAGCTAAAACAAGCTCTTAGCTCAACTGAGTCAACTCGAATGAATTTCAAAGCGATCTTTCTCAAATTCCTTCGTTTTCAAGGATATATTGAATGATACCTGTGGAAGCCAAATAAGGTAGCTTTCTGGAAGGAGAGATCAAGGACACGGGCGGACATCCAGGTGGAGTCTCGGTAGAACCTGATCTCGAAATCCGATTCCGAGTGCACCACCACGTACTGTGGCGACTCGGAACCGTTGCACAGCACCGCACAACACAGCAGACTCGCCACAGCCATCATCAGCCTTCGTGATTTCTCCATCTTTTATCTGTTCCCTTTTTGCCTGCCGATAACCACAGATTAACTGGGTACCGTATTTGTAGAGGAGAATAGCAATCTTAATTTACGGTTGTGTCATCGGTTCTGTAGTTTGACCACGCAACGTGTTAACATTGGAATCAACAAATGGTTTATTAGTGCTACAAGGGTTAATAATGTAATCAGCGACAAAGACCTAACAATAAAAGATTATTTCATCTTTCATGGCAAATTGCACTTTACCCCCTTATAGTTTGACATGTGTATGCTTTAGCCCCTATGTACTGTTGCAAAAAAGCCTAAAAAGATTTTTTGAATTCCAATTCTAGGCTCACTATCAAGGTTTTTTTCTTTTCTTTTTCTTTTTTTTTTTTTCACTTCTTACTTTTTAATGTCACCCTCTCTCCTTATTATAGGTACCGTTTGACAGAGAAAAAAATCCATTAGATTTGAGTTGCATGATTTTGATAGGGTAAATTAAGTGAGGGAAAAAAAAAATCCATTGAATTTGAGTTGCATGAAGCTAATGGATAAATTAAGGGCTGAAAATGCATGGTTAAACCTCTAATTTGGTCTTTCAACTATTGTATAGGTTTTCAAGTTGGTCCCTAAACTAAAAAAATCCCTAATTTAGTACCTAAAGTTTCTAGATCTGGGGTTAAGTTGGTTCCTCTATTTAAAAACAACTAACATGTTCTGTTATTAACATAATGCATGACAGTCAAGTAACAACATAATGCATGACAGTCAAGTAACAGTCTCCTACTGTCAAGTAACGGACACATAAATTGTTTTTTAATGGAAGAACCAACTTATAACCAACTTAAAACCAAATTAAAAAATTTTAGCGACCAAATCAGGGATTGTTTTAATTTAGGGATCAACTCATAGGTCTATACAATGATTAAAAGACCAAATTGGGGGTTTAATATAAATAGTTACATTGATCAACACTCTTATGGTTAGTTAGGGTAAAGGCAAATCAATTATACTTTGGAAATCTAATTGAATTTTAGAAAAATTAAATAGTCCCTTAGGCCTTCACTAAGACCTAGATTTGTCAAAATGGTGTTGATTTGCACCATGTTGTACTTTGTGATAAAGAGTAGAGATGGTAAGAAATAAAAGGAGAAAAGAGAGAGGAAGGAGAGAACATTGTGTTTACTGAGAGCATTACTACCTACTAGTATCAACCATGCAAAATATATGAAGTTAGGTGTCACTTTTTTAATGGGCAATATACCCAAATCTACTCTCAAAGTTAAGCAATAGGAACAGATTCACCCTCAAATAAAAAATGAGGACAAATCAACTTACAAAATTTTTTACTTGAATAAATCATTCTAAATTTAATATGTAACATCATCTAACGTAAACAATCCGTTAATTTGTTTTTTTTTTTTTTTGCTAATATCTCAATATTTGAAAGCCACATTAAATCTTGACTAATTTAGAATCGAGTCACGTTAGACCCCATAAGAGAGGAAGCTCTTTCAATGTCCATTACTCTATTCACAAGACTCAAACTTGATACCTTCCTTAGGAAAATCGAATTCCTTTAATTCAAACTAGTAAATCATTGGTTCCGTTAATTTGTTGTGTCATTAGTAAGTTCATTGTTAACATATTGCCAATATCAAATAATGTCACACGTTAAATTTGATATAATTTATCTAAATAAAAAATTTTATAAGTAAATTTATCCTTATTTTTTATTTAATTTAAGAGTAAATTTATCCTTACTATTTAAAGTTTTAAACACTAAATGTCAGAGGAGGAGGGACTAGAATGCAATTTTTGTGTGTACTTTTAAGCCCATCCAGGATAAAGAACCGAAATGGGCCAAATCCAACCCCGAGAGGCCCAAAATACTCCGACAACTCAAGTCCTACCGCAGACTGCTGAGCCGAAGCCATTTCCCTTTCACAGAAAGAGTAGGACGCCGTTCTCACCTGCGAGAAAATGATCCAGTCTGCTCGGAAAATTCTCGCCGGAGGCAGCCGGATCCAAGCTGCCGGATATGGAATCCGTTGCCTATCCGTTTCTTCCGATTCAGCTTCCCTCAAGAAGAGCGTTGCTTCTCTTCTGGATTCGCTTTCTCTTAAACCAGGTCACCTTGAATCTAGCTCTCCATTCTACATATTTTTTTTTTTCTAAATTCCTGATTTTCATCTAAAATTACAGTAATTTAGACAAAATTAGAAATGAAAGGACTAATTGAATATTTGAAGTTCTGGATATCATATTTCTTGCAGTTCATGGTAGGAAAATGTGCGTTTATAGGCACGTTTGAGCTATGTATAGGCCTTATGAGTTGTGAAGGTCAACTAAATTTAAATCAGTGTTTGGTTGCTGATAAATCCAAGAAAAATAGAAAGAGGATGGCTTTTCTGCTCTAACTCTTTCTATCCATCCATGGATTCCTACGATGTTTTTTTACAATGTAAATAAGCTCCGTTTTATGTATTGTGATGGACATATAATTATGTGTATGTATATGCAAATTTGGTATTTTATTCAGATTTAGGGTACTTAGTTTTGGGATTTGTTCTGTTAGTTGGGAAATGTTCTGATGTTTGTTCTATTGTTTTGGGTGGGGGAAATGATGGTTGAATAGGTGCAACACTGGTGCAAAATTGTGGAGACAGTGAAGTTGGGAAGGCAGTAATTCAGTTGGCAAAAGAGCGTAAGCTTCAAACTTTGAGTATAATTGAAGACAAGCCTGGAGCCCCTGATATTATTGAAGAGCTCAAGGCCCTTGGTGGGGATATTGTTGTCCCCGAAAGTTACACAAAAACATGGTATTTAGCTTTCTTAAACTGTTCCTTTTCTTTGTATCTTTGCAAATGGTGATATCTGGCTCAATAAGTTGGTAATTCTTATTTAAATGCATTTTTGTAATCTACAAAGAATGCTTTTGGAAACCAAAATGAGGTCATAGTTCATGTCAAATAAACAGTCACAATTCTATGCTTTGCCCTCTTGAATTATTAGATGGTACAACGTAGATTGCATTTCTGTCGAAGTTGTTGAACCATAAAATATATGTCTATTTTTTTGTTGTTTTTATGTGGGAATGTTTATCAAATGGGAGCTGACTTCAAAATTTGTGACATTCAAGTTTAACGATGCTTTTCAATTTTTCAGAATGTTGGAGAATATTTCTTCATAACACTACTGGCTGCAGATGTTTATAAATTATAATCGCTGAACCTGTATTTGATTTCTTTTATCTCAATGCTGCATAATCTTAGCAATTGTTGATGAATACTTTGACTAGTTTGCCCCATAAAATCGTATTTACATGTCTACCAGGTGGATTGATCACCACAAAAATTGGATTTCCCTTAGTGCTTTGAAAGTGTCAATATTTTGTAATTGACATGCTGTAGTGCAATGAATTCTGGCTGTGGACCTGTGGTCATCAACTCCTTGGTTCCAGATCCTTTTTACTTTTTGACATTTATTGGTTCTTATTGGCAGGTATATGAAGCGGCTAGCTGGTGAGCTAAACCCTGCTGCAGGTTTGAATTTCAGTGATGGGTACCAAGCGACTGCTGTGTGCAAAGCTGTGTCTAGTGGGGGAACATTTCTTACATATGGGAAAAAACTACCAAAATATGTTGCCTATGAAGGAGCAGCCCGTAAACTTGTAGAATGGAATGCATTCCTCAAGGAAAAGAACCTTAAGGTGTTGAACATGTAATTAAGAGCTTAAGCGGAAATTGGTGGAACCCGTGCCCTAATGGCAATTGTGTCTGTTCAACTCTTTTTTTTTTTTTTTCCAATAAGAACCTGCTCACATTATTGAGTTGTTACGAGGAAGTTGTCCCCTTCGAATTCTTCTAAACTTTGTTGATCTGAAAGAATCCCATTGTTTGTTCTGCAAAATGCATGGTGATACTGCCGCAGCACACAATTGAAATTGGAGCATTCAATTTAGCATCTGCATCACCTTCTCTCTGTTATCTTCACTGCATGAGTCTGCAGATCCACTTGATTGTTTTGGTAGTTGGCACTAGATTTTTTCATATAAAGTGGTAATGTTAGTTCTAATGCGGCCACATGGTGTTTGTAAGATGTCCCTACCTTGAGGCTTCGAGCACCCAAATGTGGTAAAGTTTAACAGCATTGACATGAAAATACAAATATAGCCACCAGCCAAGCTTTATCCTATAAAGTTTCTCATCAGGGAAAATGTGGCATCCATATCTTAACCAGAGAAATGTATATAGACATAATTCAGGAAACAGTGAATGCTAACCAAAACGATAGAAACACGGTAGGTTCACATCAGATCATAATTGAGTAACATTTTTATTTCTTTCTTTTTCTGGCTCATCGTGTAAACTTGATTAGCCCGGTCATATAGCGTTTGAGTTGTCTAGTTAGTTTGCTTAACAAGGGCTTTGCTAGGTGCCGAATAGATTTGAATACAAATGGAGCTTCCACAAAGAGGATTTTCACTCAATCACTTTGGATAGTAATAATGGTAAAATACATCAAAATGTCAAAAAGCTGCAGTAAGTCGACTCAGTTGTTGATGATAAACAGCCAGATTAACAAGGGCTCTGCAATATCCACAAAATCCACAAAACTGCATAACTGCATAACTGAAAGCACTTCCAAAAAGTGATCAAGTGGTTTCTTGCTGGTCATTGGTATTACTATCTGGCCAATCAAGGAACTTGTATCCCTGAAGTGAGGGTGGTAAATATGTTTGTGATGACAAGGGGTTATCTGGTGGATAGATGTAGCCTTCCCCATACCCAAGTTCCTTCATTAGCTTGGTGGGTGCATTTCTCAAATGAAGGGGCACTCCTTCATTCTGTCCTATTGACTCCCTAACAACCTTCTGTGCAGCTCTTATGGCTCGATAAGCAGCAATAGATTTGGGAGCCAAAGCCATGTAAGCAACACATTGTGAAAGGATCAAAGTAGACTCAGGCATGCCCAAGAAATGGCAAGCTTGGTAGCACGCCACTGCTTGATTTAGGGCTAACGGGTCAGCCAATCCAACATCCTCGCTAGCAAACACTGTAAGTCTCCGGGCAATGTAAAGAGGTTCTTCCCCTCCTTCTAGCATTCTTGCCAGCCAATAAATTGAAGCATTTGCATCACTCCCCCTCATCGACTTGATGAGTGCACTGATTAAATTATAATGTTCATCACCAGCTTTGTCATAAGCAAGATGTTTGCACTGAAGTGCCTCTTTGGCATCACTCACAGTTACATGCGCTGCAGATGATGAATCAATCTCCATTTCCTTACTTGTACCAGGTTCTAATCCTAAGTCTTTAGATTGGCTAATGGGCACACGTGCAACAGCTGTGGTGGCAGAAATTTCCAAGGCATTCAATGCCACCCGAGCATCACCATCGCAATTCATGGACAAAAATTCAATAGCATCATCATTCACCTCAAACCGCATCCCCACACTCCTGGATAATCCCTTCTCTCTGTCATCAACAGCTCGCTTCAGAAGAGCCTTGACATGTTCTGGTTTAAGGGGATTAAGGGTCAGAACCCTACACCTAGACAACAAGGGCGTAATTATATGAAACGATGGGTTCTCTGTAGTAGCCCCAATAAAGACAATGCTCCCATCTTCAATGACAGGCAGAAAAGAGTCTTGTTGCGACTTGTTAAACCTATGTACTTCATCAATAAACAACACAGTCCTCTTATTGCTCTTAACTCTCATCTTCCTGGCATCCTCAACAGCGTCCCTAACATCCTTCACCCCAGAAGTAACCGCAGACAAGGAAACGAATCGATACAGAGATGGTTGTTTTGTTGAATTAACAATGGATTTTGCAATGGAAGTCTTACCAGTACCAGGAGGACCCCAGAAGATAATAGAAGGTATTCGGTTGCAATCAATGGCAGAACGGAGAAGAGAATTGCTGCCCAAAATATGGTCTTGACCAACCACATCGAAAACAGTGCGAGGGCGCATGCGCTCAGACAAGGGCACGTGGGTTTTGGTTCTGTCATCCGATAAACCCGACGGTGGCGAGCTTGTTTTGGGTTGGTCCAATTTGAGACGTTTTTTATCTGGAGTAAAAGGGAAAGCAGGTGTGGATTCTTCATCTCCTTCTTTGGGTTGAACTTGGATGTTGGAAGCAGAGGCGGTGGGTTCAGGGGAGGTTTTGGAAGGGATGTGAAAGAAGCGATCGAGTTTGGGTTGGAAGGAAGGAGGGAGAGGGAGAGGGAGAGGGCTAGGGTTGGGGGAGTTTGAGTTAGTGTTGTTGTTGGTGTTAGAGGATTTATGAGAAAGAATCCACTCGGTAGCCTTCACGGTGGATTTGCCGCCGGTGGCAGCGAGGGCTTGCGCCGCTAGTTCGTCAGGAAACCCCATACTCAACAGCTGCTCCATCTCCTCCATGCTGTGTTTCTGTTTGTGTTGTTTTCCTTTTTCCTTTTCCCACCATCACCACCCGGCTCAAGCCGGGAAAGGTTTTCGTCTTCCTCTGTTTTATTATTTGGGTATGGGCTTGGGCTTCGGCCGTCAACATGAACCTCCGTTCGGACCGTCTGTTTTCATTCTTTTATTGATCAAAGGCTCAATGCCTATTTACGCCCCCTACTAATGATTTTTTTCATTTGTCATCCCTTTACCACGCCAATGTTCATTGGGGTCCTTAAATTTAAATTTTATGCTTAATGAGTTCTTCCACAACTAGAAAAACAATGGTTGGGTCCTTGACTCGATGACCCTCAACTCTAATTTTTTTTTAATTTTAATCTCCTGATTTTATATGCCAATTGAACGTTAATTAATATAAAATCAAGTCACATCAAATCCAAAAAAAAAAAAAGTTCTTTTAATGTCTATTTCTTATTTCACAATACTCGAATTTGAGACTTTATTTAAAAGAAATAAAGTTTCTTCCACTTAAATTAATAAGTCATTAGTCATCAACTCTAAATATTGCTGTGTCCCCAAAATCTCTCTTTCTGGCTGCATGGTAACTAAAACTGCAAAGGCGTGCCACTCACTTTGCTTAAAATGAGAAAGAGGGATTCCTGGTAACTCTTACTACTTCTAAGCGTGAAACTCAGCTACGAGTCGATGGAAGAGTATCGGTTAAATAAATTATGAGATACGCCTTGACCAAACGATTGTCGCAGAAACGGGGGTGCATTCCTACATAAAGGTCCATAAATAATTGCCCTAGAAGAACATTAGGACTTCCCACAACTAAGCCAAAATGTTAGTTTGTTAATCAAAATAAAAGAGAAAAATAAAGGAAAAGAAAAGAAAGAAAGTGCATAGTGAGAAAACTAAATTGTAGAGTGGAAGTGTGATGCCGCCACGAAAGCATGAAAGCGTAAAGAATAAAAGAGAAAAATAAAGGAAAAGAAAAGAAAGAAAGTGCATAGTGAGAAAACTAAATTGTAGAGTGGAAGTGTGATGCCGCCACGAAAGCATAAAAGCGTAAAAAATGAAATAAAAGATGAACTATAAAACAAAACTTAAAAGAAACTAGAAAGATGAATTTTGGGCAAAAGTGCAGTAAATTGAATTGCAAAAAACTAAATACATCAAATAGAGATGTTCACAATGAAATAACAAAATCTAGAGTTAAAACTAATGGCAGTGTAGAACTAAAGATTTAATTAGGAAAGCTGTTTAAAAAAGTTGGATTTAAATTAAAACATTGCTTGTAAAACTAAAATGTAAATAACGCTGGGCTAGTTGTGTGAGAAATTGGTCCTTTGCTTGATTTTATCATTAGGTATTTATAACACCTTGGCAGCATTCTAAAAAACCGACGGCAGCGTGATATCTAAAACAGACTGATTAATTTGTTGATGTTGCCTATTATCCTCTTGGAAGTTCGTAACAAACGAATGACTTCACTATAATTGTGGAAATAACCACTGAACCTTATCTGAAGAGATTTATACTGATTAAATACATGTTAACATGAATGACATGTAACACCTTTTTTATTTTTTTCCAGAAATGGGTGTAAACAATTGCTATTAAAAAATTCTACTTTTTTAAAAATTATTTTATAGGGTTATGGGGCTCTACGATCTCATTTTCACAATTACTCTTTCTGTTCATGTTAACTCGGCCATGTTCGCGTCATGGTCAAGAGAGGCTAACTCTACCTTGACCCTCATGTTTAGTACTTAACCCGCAAATTTCAATCTAATCTGGTATTTTGCTTTCCTAAACTTTATTTATATCCATGCAAATGGTGATATCTTGATCAACAAGTTTATTCTTACTTAAATGCATTATTGTAATCTACTGGGAACGCTATTTATAAACCAAAAATGAGGTCAAAGTTCACCTCAAACATACGGTCAAAATTCTACACTAAGATTTATTTCTTTTGTGGAAATAATTTATTTGACTTGGAGGAGAGGTTTATCTCAAACTTCAGAACTCAACATTCTCTTTACAGGGCAAATCAAGGAAAAACAAATTTGAAGCTTGGCATGCTCCCTTCAACCTTTGCAAGTTTTCAGAGTTGAAATGAAAACCACGCCACGCTCTCTGTTGCAATAAAAAACCTGCGGTAGGATGTGACATTAGAGAAAAATAACAGCAATGAAGGGTTCGGAATATTAACTTTTTTGTATGGTCTGGTCAGGTGTTGTTGGAAACACAGTCGGTCATCCTAGGAGAGACAAAAACACTAGACAACTTGTTCTGCACCAAATCTCTTAAATATTCAGACTAATGGAAACCTGAAACCAGCCCCAACTAACTAACATCGTGTCACCATACCTTGTAGAAAGGATGTTGAGATCCATCAGCCTCTAAAGCTATCTGGAAGGGTTGCTTCTGTAAAATATTCATTCCTGACAGTCTCCACAGAGCAAAATTTCACCTTAAAGAAGAAAACAATGTTATATGATTATAATCAGAGATAAAAAGATGCGAAGGGAAGTACAATAGAAGCAATGACTTAGTGAACTTTGAAGTTTCAAGTTTCATTTCCAGTAGTTTGTATCTAATGATGCCAATGTGGCATCCCTATCTTACTGTTACCCAAAAACTATAGAAACATAAAACAGGAAATGGTGACCACTAACAAATACAATCAAAACTTGGTAGGCTTACATCACATCATAATTGAGAACCATTTTTATTTTTTTTTTTTTTTTTTTGGCATATTGTTTCAACTTGATTGGCCACATGGCAAATGAATTAACTAAGTTTGCTTACCAGAGAAGCATATGATTTTAACAAGGGCTTTGCTAGTTGCCAAATAGGTTTGAATACAAATGGAGCTTCCACAAAGAGGACTTCACTCAATCGCTTTGGATAGTAATAGTAAAATACATCAAACTGTCAAAAAGAGGCAGTAGGTCAACTCAGGTATTAATGATAAACAGTTGATTAAAAAGGTTCTTGAATATGGTATCTAACATAGTGTCATAATAAGAATGAAAGGAAGCAGAATTAAGGGTGATGATAATTTCTATTTGGGCATCCAAAGTAAAAGATTGCCTATCCATTTTAGTAATTCTCGTGCCTTATGCCAAACAAACTCAAGACCAATGGTGATTATGTTAGTTAAGTATAAAATGGAACCTGCTATTACCATAAAAGTCAGGAATTTGAGATCTGCATTGTCCATACCAAATCCCCGGAGATCAAATATGCCAAGTATTTGCTCTTTCCCAGCTGGAAGCTTGCTCAAAGCCTTCTCAATCAAAAATACACATAGTTTCTCATTGTCAATGGGATCATGTGTCTGTGCCATGCAATCTTGTGGTCATCATTAGGAGCTTGAAACATGCCGAAAACATATTGAAAGTATAAAAGGCTTAAACAAGTCTTTGTTTGTCAAAACTTACTGCAGGAAGGTGCTTGGACGCAACAACTACAAGCACTGGTCTGTCATTGACATCAAGAAAGTCATGCACATATGCTTTTCCTGTTTCAGCTATATTTTTCACCAAGTTCTCAGATAGTTCAGACACTCCAAATTCTTGACGCCATTTCTAGAGATGGTTAAGAATAATTCTTGAAAAGATTCACCATATTCTAATTTTCAATCAAAGAATAAAGTTTCACAAGTAAGTCAAGATCCCATGCTAGAATGCCTTGCATGCTTTTCCTAAACTGAGTTGATGAATTCCAATCATGGTATGATTCCATTCAATTAGACTTCATGAATGTATTAGACAAGGATACAATTGCCTTTGTCAATTTTGCAACAGCCTCATCAACAGAAAATTTCCGGTCTTTCAGAAACCAGTAAATCATATCCTCATCATCCCTCCCATTTTTGCCAACTTGAAGACTAAAATGCTCTTTTTCAAGCTTCTCCCTTACCTCCAAAACAAGCTGCAAAGTTCAACTTAAACAAGTCTCAGGTCTAATCACAGTACTAAATATGCATTTCAATTTTCAATCCATTAAAAAAAAAGAAAAAGAAAAAAATCCCAATTCTCTTTTCACTGTTCTTTCACTTTAGTTTTGGATTTTAGCATAAAGAAGAAGACTTTACAAAAGATTAAAGAAAACCACATTAAAGTAAAGTAACCCTTAAAATTCAAGTAAAGTGTGCAAAAAAAAAAAAAGAAAAAGAAAAAGAAAAAGAAAAATGGTTATTGTGAGAAACTAAAGAGGAGAGGACCCATTTCCACCAGAAGATAGTAAAGGCAGAAATTTTTCGTTAAAAATAGATTAGTTAGCACCTTGCGTGATTCATCAGCGGATACAACACAATTCTGAACTGAGAATTTGCAATTTCTGAAGGGTTTATTCCTCAATTTGATTGATGAAACTAAGGGAGGTCCCCACGAACGAAGAGCTTCACAACTGCGGATCGCCATTCATGCGAATTAGCCACCTCTTGAGCTCGGAGTTCGCTGCCGTAACGTCACCGGGGACAGGTCCGTTCGTCGCCCGGGAAAAAAAATCACTGGTAGGTGCTGAGGAAAAGTTCAGTCGGCAGGTACCTTACCTTTCTAAAATACAACAAGGGGAACGATATCGTTTTATCCTCCAATGGGCCGTTGTCTTCTCTGGTCCAAAATTGGGCTTCGTGGTCCGAACAAAATCAATGTTTAGTGTTTACAGTGCCGTCATCTCAAATTGGGCTTTGGCCCAGTTTTATTCCCAAAAAACTTCTAAAACATAAAATAAATAAATTAATTTACTTTCAAGCTTTTTAAGTGCATTCCTTTTTATATTTTGACTGTTTGGCTTAGTATCTTCTTCATCTCCTTTTTTATTTTTATCTTTTTAATAAAAAATCTCTATTGTAAAAGTAGAAGTTGGGTCAAGTGTAATTTTTTGAAAAGTTCGAAAGTGAAGCTACAAGAGGTATGGCTTTTAAGTGAAGCTTTTACCATTATTGCTTTTAAATTTGATCATTTTTATTAACTTCTAGAACCTTTTATAATTACTTAATCTAAATTCATGAGTAAACAATTTTGCAAGAGCTCATGAGAAGCACTATGGAGTCTGAGAAGGTGATTATGCCCTGGAAGAAAATTCAAGAAACTAAATAAAAATCATTAAGAAAATGGGAGTTTAGAGGAAGTGATGATATATATTTATATCTATATATATATATATAGAATATGAGTATGTAAGCTTTTGGTTTTACATCAAGTTTCTGAATTCAGATGACAAGAGAACCATGTCACAGAAGCTCCAAAAACAGGCTTGCTCTAGGATGGAGACCGGCATCCTTGAGAGTCATTCCCATTTGATCAGCATCATAGACTTTTCTGGGGTAGCCGGATACCAGTCTATAGTTGCCAATGCCAGGCAATCCTAATGAATCAATGTATCTGTAAACTGACTGTATCTTATCTGTGCAAGAAAAGCTCTGTTCCCTTCTTTCACCATTCGGAAATCGAATCAATAGCTGAAATTTTCATTGATTGTAAAAAACTTATCAAGATGTAAAACTGCATGTACTAAGATGACTCAAATTGGGTTTTTCATTTTGTACCTGAGTAGTCTGAGGATCTTTTCCTTGAGTAGAAGTTACTTGGTTCTGAGTTTGTCTAACAGTGGAAGGCTGATATGGTTTACCAAGTTTTTGTGCAGGAGTTTGCCTCAGCTTCTCATGGTTTGTTTTATTAGAAGCATCCGCTGGTTGAACCCTTCCACTCCTCAGCTTTTCATTTTCCTTAGAAAGGGAAAGAAGCATTGAGTTTAGTCGATATGCCAGTTTTGAATTGTTCTACAAAGGTAAAGGATGTCCAATGATACAGCCAAACTTACCTCGTCTATCTGTAGGGCAGAAAAATATGCTGCATCTTGTTCTTCTCTTAACTGGCGATCCCCTCTTACTTTCTCTTCCTCTTTGATTTTTGCTCTTCTCCTTTCTTCCTCCTTATTTGTTTTATTACCAAAAGCCAGCCCTTTCTCCTCAATTGTCCTCTGGAGTATCTCCACCAGCTCAGCTGGGCCAATTGGACCCTCTATCTAGGCACATGAAGCAGGCAGAGGAATAAGAAAAATTGAGATCAAAGTCAAAAGTGAGAGTATGAGTTGATTTTTGCAGTAGTAATTCTATAATCCAACCTGTCGCAGGACTGCTATGTTATTGCCAGGAGCAGGAGCTATCAGTGCACAGAAAGGGTAGGTAGTTGGGCGCAGAGTTGCAACCATTTGCAGACCCTCTTCCCTATCTGCCAGTGCTCCCCATGATACAAAGTTTGCATCAAGAAACTGTATTACCAGCTCTGAACACAGTGTCTCTGTGCAGAAAGAGGGAGTGAATGGGTGTTCCGGGGAGTGGAGATACATAAACACGAACTTGTGCTCATCCTCTGCTAACTTTAAGGCCTCCATGAATTTACATGCATAGAAAATGGGATGGGCAGAACCATATTGCTGCTCAATGCTAGATAGAAAAGCCCACTCTTCGTGAAGGATGAGCGGTGCTTGTGGTGGTCGTGGATCTTGCAGTTGGAAGTTTGGTGTTTGGTCTTGGCTTCTTCTACCAAATGCTCTTGAGAAGCTCCCCAATATGCTTCTGGGAAGGCACACCATCCGCCAAGCACAGCCATGGAAGGAGGGCTGTCCTCTTTCCCTTGGACTTCCACTTGTTGTTGATGACATTTCTCTTTTCTACAGTGGTAAGGCAAGGTGAAGATCCTAGTGATGAAAATTTGAGACAATTTTTGTCAAGCGAAAAAGAGATATATTGCTCCTGCATACTGAATGTCACATTCCTTTCCTTATTGATCTTTAATTAAAGTTCTTCCAAGAACATTTCTAGAGAACTCAAAGCTGATGCTTTGCTTCTTGTAGAATCCACCGTCAGTTTTAAAAGAGATGCTTCCAAGTATATGGCCATTTCTGTGAAAAGATATATGGTAGGATGTGCCAGACTTCAGTGGAAGAAGGATCAAATTCCATTCTCACTACTTTTACTTTCCCATTCCAAAGGTCAAGAATTCTCCTAGCATATATGCCAGTTTTCTCAGAGGGTTTATCTTATGCTAACTTTTCTTGAAAATTTATTGTCTTCCCTATGTTAAAAGAAAAGCATTGTTGAACAGAAAATTAAGCAACACATGTAAACACAGACATGAAAAAGATAAACCAAAAACCAGCTGTTAATGAGTCAAATTTCAACGCATAAACTCCATTCTCACATAAATGCTTTTGGTTAATCAGATAGAAGCAGCTAAACTTTGCTTTCTGAAAGCAAAAACTAATTATAAAGCACCGAAGTCAAAATAGCTGCAGTATCTTTGAACATTATGATTGTTTCGTTTGAATTGTCAAATTATGGTGACAAAAGCTATAATCTAAGTGCTTTGAGTAATTAAGAAGATTTTAGCATACCCCATGGGAGCTATAACTTGCATTTCAAGTTGGGTTCTTTAAATCCATCCTGGCCCAAGCTTGTAGAAGCTTTTTTGACCTCCAAACCGACAACCCATACAAAAGATTACAGCAAAAATTAAGGGAAATCTGTTTGGCAATTATCAATACCCATGTTATTATAGTCTTAACAAGTCAAGTCCTTCCAAGTCTTTTTTTTAAGTCATGCTTTTAAAAAGCCAAAAATTTTCAGCTTTCCAATCCCTAAAGATAATGAAAAGAGGCGTTGTTTATGCATCAAATGGTTTGCATCACATGCTCTCCATCTCCTAACAGATGAGCCATCACCATCTTGGCCTCCCTAACTTTGTGAGTAAGCACTAAGTTTGTGAGTGGCATTGCTCAAACTGCACTATTTTCAGCAGACAAACACTGTTTTTGTAGGACAATCTCCACTTGTGCTTTGCAGGCAAGCATCATTATCCTTGAAAGACTTTTACATGTTTGGACTTTCTTGGTTTTGGCATATGATGAACCAGAATAAAGGAGGAAAAAAAGAAAGTCTTTTTTGGAAAAATCTTGATTTATTATTAACCATGTAGAAGTAGAATTGGGTTTCTCCCATTCTCTTCCAATCATATCCTCAATTTTCCTTCCCTAAACCTCATTTCCTTGTAATAGATAACAATTAACAATCCTTTATCCTGAGTGACATAAGGATTTTATATCTACCCATCTAAATTTGAACCCTTTTGTAAATTTTGATGCAGAGAGTACTAGGAGAGACTAGAGATGTTGAAATCACAAAGTGGTCAGTGGTCACTACTGGTACTCACTAATGCCAGCCATCATTAAATTGTTATCTCCAAAAAAATTATTATGACAGTATAACAACCACCCACCCCTTTTACATTTGGGGTTTTTTTAACATATATATCATAAGTATAACTACCACTGACCGCCTTATATTTAGGGTATTTTTAAAATATATATTTTAAAGTATAAGTTAAAAATATATTTATTATATATTTTTATTATTAATTTATATAAAAAATTATAAAAATAAATTTTATTTTCAATATTAATATCATGTGAAACAATTTAATTGAATGATTAATAAAATTTAAGTTGACTTTTATTTTTTTATACAAATTAATGATAAAAAATATAATAAATAGATTCTTAAAATGTGTCCTTAAGGCACATAATAGAAAATCAGTTTATTTCAAAAAAAAAATGGTGGCTTTAAAAAAATAATTCCAAAATAAAAAGGTTTCAAAAATATTCCTCTTAAAGTCTTAAAATACAAAATAATCTCAAATTAATACCATGTGATGCCTAAATTTCCCCTTCTCCCTAATTAATATCCCTAAATCTCCTACACTCACTCGCCCTTTGGTTAGGCAACAAATCTGCCTAATTAAATATGCCGACAAGAAAGAAATTTAGAGAATTGAGGCAACAAATTTGTCACGCAGGCAAGGTTATATATTGATTTTGAGGTTGCTCTTGAAATTTGTTGTTAGGAACCAGTAGGTGTAGGAAATATAGGGATATTAATTAAGGAGGAGGGGTAAATTTGACACTATGTAGTATTAATTTGAGATTATTTTGTATTTTAATATTTTTTAAAAAAATATTTTTGAAACCCCTTACTTTGGAATTATATTTTTTGAACCCACTCTTTTTTGGAATAAACCCTTAGAAAATTCTCTACATCTATGAGCATCATTTTCCATTTTCCTTCACTCTGAAATTCCTTCAGTTACAAATTTTCAGCACTTCAAGAAGCATGGGATTGACAGCCTTTGTAAGGTTTAACATGATTTTTTAAGTCATTAAATCAAATGCCTTTTATGCATAAAAAGAAAAACAAAGTTTCAAAAGCCGTGTGTATATTCTTTCCAGACGAGTGTGGGGTTGGAATCAATTCTGTTGAGACCACCTTTACAAAATGGCATGCTTGCGTACAAAAATACCTTAATAACCTCTCTGCCCCAGTTGTATTAAAAATGAGAATGACCCTCTTTGGTGGACCAGTGTTCTTCTCCTGCAAATGCTTTTACTTTCTTTGTAGAGGTGAGGTGGGTATTTCTGAAAAGAAGAGAGAAAAAAAAAAAAAGAAATGTGAGCAAAAAGGGAGTGTTTTTGGAAGTGGGAAGCAGCAAAGCACCATAACACAGAACCTAAAAAGGTACCCAAATGCTAAGGGCCCATGTCTCTGTGCTCCCTCCCACATTCTAATCCTGAACTTTAATCTATATCAATTTCAAGGATATAATTGATAAAATCTTACTAAGATCCCTTTACCTTTTAGCCATGTGGTCTCATTGCTCTTGATATGGCGTGGCTTGGCTTATTCTTCTTACTTCCTCTTTATTGCTGTGAAAAGCTTGCAGATGCCAAGTTTCACTTGGACTCGTATAAAAAATGTCCTCAATTTACCCTCTAATAGGACAAATGTTGGCACTTTGGCGGTTTGGCCCCCCAGAGTGTTGATACCCTCTTAGCATTAATCTGTATCAAATTTACCTTTATCATTTCTTGCGAGGCCACAGGTAATTTTTTTGCATTTCCCTTAGTTCGATGTTGATTGCATATACCTTTGATTGAACTGGTGATATAAGAATCAAACCCAAGAATCATTGGTGATTTGCCATACTGGGATTTTTCCTCGTAGATCATAGATCAGAAAATACAATTTAACTAACCAACCTGGATAGTGACCAATATCAATTTGGACCCATTGATTCTGAAAAGAAATCACCTTTGAGTAAATACAATTATGAATTTGCCTCTGCTTTGGGTAAAAATCGTTTGGAGGAACAAGAGGAGTAGGAGAAATTAGTTTCTCCAATTAGGTTTATTGATTAAAGATGAGGGCCAAACCAAGCCATGGTTGAGTTTGAACGTTGAATGTGACAGTACTGGTGAAGGTCGTGGTGTGGGTCTGTGTGGGTAATGCCTATTTATTCTTGGTCATTAAGTCACCTCACCAGTGTATTATGCCTTCCGACAAAAAACCATTTTAGTACCATAAAGCATTCACAGATTCATCAAGTCACCCACCTACCTACTTAAACTTAACAGGCTTTCAATCTGTTAAGCACTGAAAATGATTGCTTTTTTTTTTTTCTCTCTCTCTCTCTTTTAATCTCGTCTTCATACATTTCAATTTTACATGTCTAGATTGTTGGACTAAAAGCTTAAGCTATAATGCGATTAATGACCAAAAGATAAGCTTGGAATTGTATTAGAAAAACTAGGCTTTGGGGATAATAACATCAAGCATTCTTGGACATGATCATTGCATCTGACCCACCAAGATGTACATATGCCAAATGTTCTCTGCAATCCCTTCAATTCATAGTGATACGGGCATTAGTCTCTTCAGTCACAAAAAGGAGAACGGTTAAGATAAGTCAATCTTTTGTTGAAGTCACTTAAAATATTATTAAATTATTTAAAATATTTATTAATAATTATAATAATTAATTAATAAAATAATTGATATTTATTATTAAATAGAGTTAAATCAATTTATTACTTAATTTTTTTAAACACCATAACTAATTATAAACCTTTAAACTAATAAAATCAACCAATATAAACATAATTATTACATTTTTTTAGGTAATCTTAACAAAAAAGTTGGGCCACAATAACTATGCCCTTTAAAAAATCCACATGGTTTGCATATTAAATTAGGTGGAAATTCAATGGAGAGGATTGTGACATTGCATTATGTTATTTGTTCTTCCCTTCATCTGGGATAATTAGCATTGCATCATTAGGCAATTAAAAGAAGAAATAACAAAGGGAAAGTTTTCGTATCCTCTTTCCAGTCTTGACAAAACTGGAAATCTGTTTTTTAAGTTCACTACTCCAATTTAATCTAGAAATAGAAACCATACATTAGTTCAGTAATTAAAGACATACTCATATCATGAAAAGTCCAGGGTTCGAGGAAGAATGATTCTTTACTGTATAAAATTCCTCACTTTACTCAAAATCAAAGCAAAAAAACTAACAAGAAAATCAGTGGAATGGCCCAACTCTCAGTCTTTGTTCCCTTTTAATTTGAAACCCATTTCTCTTTCTCATTTTCCTTTAGGAAAAGCTGGAAAAAAATACACATGTTTTGACCCACATCAATGGGGGTAAAACTTGGAAAGGTACAACACCACCTATAAAAACACCATTTTAATATGTCCATGCCTGAAGTTTTCTTACGTGTCAGGGTAGAGAACTCAAGAGACTAGGACAGAAACTCACTAGAGGAAGAAGAAAGAGAGAGATCAGACCTGGGGAGGGAGGGAGGTTTGTATGTTTTTCTCTCTGAAGGGTTTCTTCTGTTTTGTAAGGACCCGAGGGGGGGATTCATTCCCATGGACAAAACCATGGAATAATCTATGTTGTATCCTGAACACAACTGGACAACTCTAATGTATACAAACACAACCCTTCATGCCAAAACAAACATCACAAACAAACTCGTCAAAAATGGCTTCTTTTGTTTCCTTCAACATTTCCCCAATGATACCAGTCCTTGTTGCTTTCTTAGTTGTTTCCTCCTCTCTTGGCCCTGTTCTGTCTCTACCAGCGATGCCAGATTCCGGCAACCGGCCAGTGGCCAACCAGACTCTTAGACCCTATAAGGAGGATCAGAAGCTTGGGAGAATCAATGATTATCTCAAGAAGATCAACAAGCCTGCAGCCAAAACAATTCAGGCATTTTCCCAATTTTTTTTTCTTTTCTCTTTTTCCATTTTTTTTTTTTTTTTGAATGGCAGTTTACAATTTCTTACTCTTACAAGTTGAATGACTTGCATTCTGACATGTTTTATGCAGAGTCCTGATGGGGATTTCATAGACTGTGTTCTGTCTCATCTTCAACCTGCTTTTGATCATCCTGAACTTAAAGGGCAGAAACCATTGGTAATTTTCTATCAAAGATACAATATTTTCTGCTTTATTTTTTGGAAGCAAAATTAGCATTGAGCAACTGGAATTGGTGGGAAATCGAAATTTTTTGTGTGTGGAACATTGCAGGATCCACCAGAGAGGCCAAAAGGCCTTTATTTCACAGAAGCAGCGAGGGAAAGCCTCCAGCTTTGGACAGATTCAGGTGAGTCATGCCCTGAAGGAACTGTTCCAATCAGGAGGACTACAGAGAAAGATATTCTGAGAGCAAGTTCTGTTAGAAGATATGGAAGAAAATTAGGAAGAAATGTAAGGAGAGACTCAACCGGGAATGGTCATGAGGTCAGTACTCAAGACACTGTCAAATTAATCGAAACAACACTCGAATTTTCCAGTTTGATCTAAGAATGAAGTTATATAATCATTGATCTCAAGGAGAGGAAAACAGAGAAAAGTTGTTTGTATTTTTATTTATTTTACTTGGATTTAGTAAACCGGTTTTGAGAAACTAAGAATAAGTTATATGAGAAAATCTTTCTTGATCCCTCCCCCAAGGGTAATGTTAGTTACATAGACTGGCTAATTTGGTTAATTAGTCTTGTTTTGGTTGGCAAAAGGTAAAGAAAAGGAAGATGTTTGCTTCTGACATTCATATTTTTGTTACTTATTACAGCATGCTGTTCTGTTTGTAAATGGAGAACAATATTATGGAGCAAAGGCAAACCTAAATGTCTGGGCGCCCCGGGTAACTAATGAATATGAGTTCAGTTTGTCGCAGATTTGGGTTATCTCTGGTTCATTTGGAAATGATCTGAACACCATCGAAGCTGGTTGGCAGGCATGCTCATGATTCTCCACTGTTTCTCACTCTTGCACAACTGTCTTGAATCTTGGCATTTTCTAATATTTTACTAAACAATTATGAAATTCATACTTCTTCAGGTTAGCCCGGAGTTATATGGAGATAACTATCCTAGGTTCTTCACATATTGGACAGTAAGTCCCAAGTGGTGTTTTACTGTGATAGTTTTCTTCATGAGATTGTAAAGATCATAAAGCTGGCACTGATTTGGATTTTGATTTGCAGACTGATGCATACCGAACTACCGGATGCTACAATTTACTCTGCTCCGGGTTTGTCCAAACTAACAACAGGATTGCCATCGGGGCAGCAATCTCTCCAAGGTCCTCCTACAATGGCAGACAATTTGACATTGGCTTAATGGTTTGGAAGGTGAGATTAAGGCCTAGGAAAGATCCCCATTTGGACAGCTTAATATTACTTTATGCAATACATATAGAGGTTGACTTCACAAGAAAAACATTAAGGAATTCCCCACTTTTTTTTGTAGGATCCAAATCATGGACATTGGTGGCTAGAATTTGGATCAGGACTATTGGTGGGATATTGGCCTGCATTTTTGTTTAGTCACTTGAGAAATCATGCAAACATGATACAATTTGGAGGGGAAATTGTGAACACAAGATCATCAGGACACCACACATCCACTCAAATGGGGAGTGGCCATTTTGCAGAAGAAGGATTTGGGAAAGCAGCCTACTTCCGGAACCTCCAAACCGTGGATTGGGATAACAACTTGCTTCCCCTAACAAACCTTCGTCTCTTGGCTGATCATTCAAACTGTTATGATGTAAGACAAGGGAGAAATCGTGTCTGGGGAACTTACTTTTACTATGGAGGTCCAGGAAAAAATGTGAGATGTCCATGAAAAAAAACTCAAAACAGCATAGCATAGGGTAAAAAGATAAGAGAGTGAGACATTATTTTTCTCTGATTTTTCTTTCTGGGTATTTGGTTTTCCTCCTACATTTAACATGGTTTGGCCTATTTTTAGATTTTTTTCCCTTTTATTTCAATGTATATTTTCCCTTCTCTTATAGGTTACTTTTCCCACTTTTCGGATTCAATATAAAATTTAGGGTAATACAAATTGTCAATAACAATGATGAGTTGTCTCTTGTTTCCCCTTTTCCTTCTTAATTCTTGATAGAGAGAGATACTGACCCTTAAGAAAACCTTTTCCATATGGACTCCATGTGGGGAGCAGCATGAAAGAAATTTTTTTTAAAAATACATTTCTGATGTTGATGAATGTCAGTGACTTCTGCGGTTGTAATTTAGTACTAATAAACACAACATAAACAGCCTAATTGACCTTGTATTATTTGTCCTACACGAACTTGGATTTAGACAACTAACTTAATACCATGTTTGGAAGTAATATTTTACAATAATTGTGTCATTTGTGTCCTTCATTTAATTAAACAATATAATAACAATATTCTTACGATGGTTTTTTTTTTCTTTCTTTTTCTAATAATAATTTATACAAAATAAGTGAATGTGAATGAATGCTAACCCAAATAAAGAGTACATCATAAAATAATACCTAAAATCATATACTTACAACACCATGTAAAGTATATCATTTTTGTAAATAATATTACCTAGAAGTGTGAGAGTGAGAGTGACAACATATTATTTCAGATCTTGGTAACAGTGTCAGCCTAAAGGAAAATAGAAATACAGTGGGGCGGGTTAACAGATTGCTTGTTCCTGGTAGCTTCTCATTTTGTCAAGTCGCTATGGCATGATGCCCTACCAAGAATCCAGAAGATAATGTTATCACTGGAGGCATCATGGTAATAGTTGACGTTATAAATGCTACCTGAACATTGCGATTTATTCATGACTAAACATTAATCTTCCAATAAAACAGTAAATTTTTCTTGAATCTTATATCCATGAATAGATCTAATAAAGGGCATGGTCACCTTTGGCTTCACATTCACAATTTACATGCGGCTGAGTATCATCTAATACAGACAGTAAAATGTTTTCTTTTCCAAAACTAGCACTGATTTTGACAACAGAGAAGTCTATAAATTTAACCAAATCTTCAGGAGCACAGATTCGAAGGATATTTTCTTCCAAAAGAACCATAAAAACTTCCTTTACACTAAATCTCCGGCTCTCTTGATCATGGATCATTGTATATGTCCTTCCCAAGTCAGCACACAATTTAAGAAACTGAGGGTTGTCCCATGATTCACTCAAATCTAAAATGCCATAGTTTCCTGTTAGGCAACCTTCAGACTTCATGTTTAATGCTATTCTCCGTATAGATGCTAGGTTAAAAACTAAATGCCAAGCTGTTGGGGACCAACTCTGAATTGGACTTTCAAAGTTTGTGTTGATAAGTAGAGAGTAAAGCTGGACCACAATAGCCAAGGAGAAGCGGGATATGAAGATGAAGAAATCATAGAAATCCATGCCTGTTAAAGCATAAACAATGAGTAAATACTATAAGACAAAAAGAACCACAATACTGGAAACCTAAGGTTAGATTTTACCATCAGAGTAAACTGCAATAGGAATAGAATTTGCTGCCAAATATCAATTTGGTTCAATTAGCTTCAATATTTAATCTAATCAGTTCATCCACTATGAATGCAAAAATGTATCTTGTTTTAAACCTTTAATTAAGCCTGCAGATATTGATAACTAATTTCTATCTCCCTCAATTAAACTGCTCCCATCAGTACCTTAGGCCAGGTTGAATAAGCACTAGGTGACCATAACCACGGACTAAACTTTAGGTGGAGATAAAAAGGAAAAAAATCATACTACTCCCATTGTTCATCCTACCATATACCAGTATTTCGAGTTGCATGGCCCAATTCCAGCTATACACTAACCTACCAAGAATTGGTTTAGCAGGGAAAAACTGAAAACTACCCTTCCCAACCCTCCACTCCACAAAGAATAAAAACTCTCAGAGAAAGAGGGAGAGGAAAGGTATAAGGGCAAGAGTTATTTTACACTCCACAATCTTGATAGGTTAAGCTCAACTTGAAGCAGTATGTCATGCTAAATTACTGTTACCATTAAAGATCAATGACATACCTGTATTTGCTGCCAGATTACGTTGGCAGAGATTTTCAAAATCATCACAAATGTCTTTGATGTCCTCTATGTAATCCCTGGCCTCCTTGTAATCTTTTAAGAGCAGATCCCACTGAAAGAATGAGTAACTTTATAAGACATCTTCAGCTTCATACACCAGCAGGATTCCCTTTTGTTTCAAATTCTATTTTGGAATTAATTTTCTTTAGTAATGCACTTACCACCCATGAAAGATTGTAGGCATTGAACCAGTTGTGGTTTATTGATATTGTATCCTCCTGAAGAAATGATAAAGGAAAATGTCAAAAGAGATAAAGTCATTCATCATGCATAGGGACTAAAGATAATGCCTATGAGAAAGAACCATATTAAGCCTCTATTAAAATTGTGACCATACTCTGTCTTCTTTATGTCCAATGAACCTTTTCAAAACAAATCATTCATTCTACGTTCTGGAAGGTTTCTAGAAGGAATATCATCAAGCAGAAAAAGAACATAGGCTACCAGATTATGAACTTGGTGATACCATCCACTTGGCACAAAGATCATTTCATTCTCTTCCTGAGTACATTCCAGCCATATAGCCTGCAGCCAACTGTAAAATTAGCAACAAAGGGACTTAAAGGTGCATTGTAGAGAGGAGTTGCATTGGAGCTATGAGCTCTATGTACTTACCTTATCAAAACCAGGGAATTTAGTTTCACTAACATCTTCAAAGATATTATACACACAGCTTCTCATGTTCCTAAAATAAAATGTGACAACAGTCAGGAAACACACAGATAAATTATACTAAAATAGGTATAAAATGCTTCAAAAAGTTTGCATGCCTGTCAAAAACTAGATGACATTGAGAAGGAGGCAGGAAAAGCCACTTTTTCCTCCCACATACGTTTGCTGACCAACTATATGACCTGAAAACATCAGCATGAAGAGGCGTCCAAGATCCTACAGAACAGAATTTGAAGTTAGGCAGTAGCCTAGGCTAAACACTAAAGCCAATAAAACAGAAACTAGATATCTCCTTTGACAATAAACATATCTACATACATCAGAAAAATAAAAAGCTTGTCACATCTATGCTCAAACCTTTTGCTCCCATATAAACAAAACGATAGTCAGAACAACATATTTCATTATTCTCTTGGTAAGTATCAGGATCCTTGTGCATTCGATAATTGTCAAGATACAGATTGAGCCAATCATCAGAAAAAACCAGTGGAGTTGTGTACGCTACATATTCTGGGTACTCCTGACAATCAAATTAAAGAGCACATAAATAAGTGAGATTGCTGAGCCACTAATATCCTAGGCTTCTGGCATATGTACCAGTCACCACAGCAGACAAAGATGCAAGGAGATGCAAATCAACGAAAGACAAACTTCAAAGAAGCCATCAAGGTCCCATCTTAACTAGCAAGCAGAAGCAGAAACTCAAAAATGTTTTTTTTTTTTTTTTTCCTTTTATTATGGGTAAATAAGCTCTCCAACTCAAAACAGAACTCACTGTGGGGCAACAAATTGGAAAGATAAATGTAAACTGAGAGAGGAATAACTTTGAAACAGAACAAGAAGCTACCTTTACAAAATGCCAGTCCTTTAAATACAGCAAGGACTTCTCTTTACCCACGTGATTGTCCATGGAATCCTCAAGCCAATGGTCAACAAACTCTGAGACAGACATTTCTACCCTCTTCTGATCTGTTAATTCTCTAGTCCCACACTCTGCAACCTATTAAGCAACACCCAAAGGACCCAAAAAATTGAACCATCAATGTGAACTAATGAACAAATGCAACAGAACAAAGGGAAATAACCCAAACCCACATTCCAAAAGAAGCTGAAGCAAGTGAATCTGACATCATTCTAGTCTTAAAACAATAGGGAGTCGGATTCAGAAGGAGTAAGTACCTCAACTTTGGATTTGGCGAAGTGGGTGGAGAAGAAACGGAGGTTAGGTTTTCCATCATGGGTAACCCAGTCTTTGCAAGCTTGCCAATCATCCATGAGACCTGTAAGTACCACCGGCTCGTTTTTGGCCAAGTATCTCTCGGCAAAATCGCGATAGCTCAGTTCTTTACCATTAATCTTCTGAATGGAACCTCCAATCTTAATATCCATTTTTCTCCTTTCTTGAAAAGAAACAATTTTGCAACTCCGGCGACGCTCTCTTCGTAATTGAACTTGAAGAGCAAGCCTCTGCAATTCGGCGCCGTCGAAATCGATCTCCGAATCATTTTGTATGGAGCAGGATGTAAATAAAAGAAACCGAAAAATTATAAATTAGCCTCTTAAGTTTCACGTATCAATCAACTGATTCCCTAACGAATGTTTTTGGTCAAATAAGACCCTTGATATGTTGGGGCTTATTTGACTCAAAAGATTAAATGAGGTCTTAATTGACCAAAGTGTACATATTCAGAGGTATAATAACATAAGTCGTCTTCTTTTTTTTAAAAAAAAAAATGGAAATGAAAGGAAGAGACAGGCCTAACCCATTGGCCCAACGGTCAACCCAAATGAAAAGAGAGGCCCAATGAACAAGGGGTGAGCAAGTATTTGTATGAGCAAGATTTTGATACTTGATTTTTTTTTTTTGAACAGGTTCACAATTGCAGGGTGGAGGGTTCAAAACCTAGTCATTGGGTCAGGGATGCACCTTACTAAATGGTTTATAGCCATTGGGTCGTAAGGCTTAGGTGCGATTTTGATACTTGATTTGAATCATAATAGGTACAAGTTTTTGATACACAATAGTCATTTATGTATTGTAAATTCATATTCATTACCCAACTCTTTAAATATATGTATACTTATATACCCATTGAATATTATAACCTTTGATACAAATTAAAAGATAATTAAACATTTTTCAAAACAAATACTTCAGTTCATACATAGTATACATACATTAAAAAATACATGAGTTTATAATTATAACAAAACACATAAGTTGAAACACAAACACAAGTTCATTCACATAAAAACATAGTCAAATACATCTATTTACACAAATACAAATTTATATATATATATATATATATATCAAAATATGTACAAACACAACATTATAAAATCTTCCTTCATTATATTCTTCTCTACTTGAAGAAAAGAAAGCATACTTTCTAGTTTCATGACATTATATTGCAAAATTAAGCATAAAATTAGAATATAATCATTATATTCGCAAAATTCTAATGTCGTTAAGCAACTATGTCTAATTTGAAATGATATTATGAAGTATTTTAGTTTGATGTTTAAAAGTATACTCACATATTACTAAATGTCTTTACAATCAGGATTAAACGGAATCTTATTACTCTTAAGAGATAGAAGTGGAACATAATTTTATAAGTAGACACAAGAAAAAATTATTAATTTGTTAATTGGATTCATTTATATATATATATATATATAACTATAACCATCATATCCAATACTTGA